TACAATTTACATATAAAATATAAGTATATAATATGATTACATATAATTTATATATTTTTTCAAAATATAAACATGTATAGTTTTATATATTTTTTCTATTATGAATGGATAGTTTTCTGACTGGTCATGGTTATTGATGGTGCTGATGATGTACCTGGCCAACTCACTGGCCTCTTTTATTCTAAAAGTTTTAAGTTGATTCTCATGGAATTTTTAGGTGGTCAGTGATACTATCTGAAAATAATGACAACTTTTTTTCTTCCTGATATTTCCAATTGCTTTGTAATTTTGTTTGTGTTATTGCACTGACTAGAACCAAAGGTGAACAAGAATTGTGATGGCTAGCATCCTTTCTTGTTTTTTATTTTAAAGAGGATACTACCAGCATTACATGGTCTCTCGGTTCTTGTCCCAGATGCACTAAAGAATTGGAGATCCGAGACCAGAATCGGTAGAGTTTACTGAGTAGATAAGTATAGTATACTTTCAAGAGTGACAATGGGACCGAGGAGCTCTAGCTGCATCCTTTTAAGCCTGCTTTGTGTACATGTGAATTTGGCCTTGATTGACAGCTAGTGGTTATATAACATTTTGGTTTCTGCGCATGTGCCTGCCCATGATGCATTGCTATAATTGTACTTATTTATGTATTGTATATTTATGAGTGTCTAATGAGCTTTTGTTTGTGACCTTAAAGGTACTATAGGGCAAGTTGCACCCTTTGTAGGCATGTTCACAAGAAAGTCTCCTTGTGGCTTTTGGGCCAGCTCTGTATATTTCGACATTAAGTATAATGTTTGTGTGGGTTTTTGGTGGATACCTTTTATCAGGTTAAGGAAGCTTTTTTTTTCTTTTTCCTATTCCTAACTTGCTAAGGAAATTAAAAGCATTTAAAAAAAATCATTTATCGGTTACTATTAATTAGAAGTTAGAAAGTATTTCCTAGGGCGCCTGGGTAGCTCAGTTGGTTTAAGCGACTGCCTTCCACTCAGGTCATGATCCTGGAGTCTCGGGAGCGAGTCCCACATCAGGGTCCCTGCTCAGCGGGGGGGTCTACTTCTCCCTCTGACCCTCTTCCCTCTCATGCTCTCTGTCTCTCATTCCCTCTCTCTCTCAAATAAATAAATAAAATCTTAAAAAAAAAGTATATCCTAGACATAGTGCTGGACAGGATCGCTTCTTGTTTTTATTAACAGTTTAAGAGTAAATAAATTATCATTATTTATCTTTTGAAAATTTTATCTTAATAATTATCTTTATTTTTATCTTTTAAGAATCTCCTAAAAACAAATATTGAATAGGCTATAAAAACATTGAGCTAAGCATCAAAACCAAGTCTCAGCAGGTAACAGATGGAGTGGGTAGGGCCTGCTCAGAGCGCGCATGTGCTTTGGCACCTTTGGTGCGGCCCATGGAAATGTCCCGCAAGGGGTGGGCCGGAATCAAATTCTCCTGGACCTCTGCAGGTCTTATTCCTCATAGCCGTGATTACATCGTTGGAAGAGATACAAATGTAAATGAGTCTTGAAAGTCTGTTCAGCCTTATTGAAACACAGGAAGCAGAAGCACGGAAATTGAACATGTGTTACGCAGTTACTAACCATGTGTCTGTGTGAGCACCTAGAGATCACTACACCCAGGTCTGCACCGAGAGGAGAGAAGACAGTCAGTTGAGGCATTAGAAAGGGGTATTTGTAGCAAAAACTTAAATGCCTGTTTGAAGCAGGAAAGAAAATTTATCTTCCTAAAGAGATGACTTGAACCCTCCTCTCACCTTCCTTTATGTCCTGTTGTCTTCGCTTTCACCCTTCGGAGCCTGACTTTTGAATCGCTGGGCCACATGGGCAGAGACAGAGGCTGCTTCCCGTTTGGAATCCACCCCAGCTGGGGAGAAGCCCGTTACTGCAATTTCAGATGCATGTAAGAGCTTCTGCATCACCTTAGCTACGAACCACTTTTTGCATTCATGTGGAATATTTATCTGTTTTTACAAGATCTTGGCTGGAAATGCAGATTATCATTAATTTCAAGTCAGTTTCTTATAGAATCTAAAGGTGTTCAGTAAATACTTTCAAGAGTAAAACTAAGCAAAAAGGCGCTCTGTTTCCTGCAGCGTTGGGGTGCGGCTCACAGGGAGGGGAATGTCAAAGTGCTTGTATTGTTTTAAAAAATGTGAAGATAGATGGCTTTAAGTTTTCCGCGGCTCTTGGGGATGCATTTTTGAAAGGGCCTAGTGATGGGTGGCTGAGAGGTCTCTTGTCTTATGACTTCTCTTTCGGAAGAAAATGAATGTTTTCTGGACTCTTAGCACTCATACCCAACATTTCTTTACTTTTAAACTGTTTTGCAAGAGTGCAAACCACTTCACTACACAAAGGAAAATGTCTTTTATGAGTTACATTTATTTATTTATTTATTTATTATTTTTTTAAAGATTTTATTTATTTATTTGACAGAGAGAGACAGCAAGAGAGGGAACACAAGCAGGTGGAGTGGGAGAGGGAGAAGCAGGCTTCCCGTGGAGCAGGGAGCCCGATGCGGCGCTCGATCCCAGGACCCTGGGATCATGACCTGAGCCGAAGGCAGAAGCTTAATGACTGACATTTATTTTAATGTTTATAAGCAACTAGCGACTAAAGATGCCGTTTAAGCTACTGAATGTGCACAATTAAACATCTTTTTAAATTTATTTTTTATTTTATTTTAAAGAGAGAGAGTGCTCGTGTGTGTATGGGGCGAGGAGGGGTAGAGGGAGACAGAAAGGGAGAGAGAATCCAGCAGACTCCCCGCTGAACGGGAGCCCAAAGGGTGGGCGTGGGTGGGGGCGCTCAATCGCAGCCTGAGAACAAGACCTGAGCGGAAACCAAGAGTCAGATGCTTTACCGACTGAGCCACCCAGGCGCCCCTAATTGAACATTTTTTTTTTTTAAGATTATTTATTTATTTATTTGACAGAGAGAGACAGCGAAAGCAGGAACACAAGCAGGGGGAGTGGGAGAGGGAGAAGCAGGTCTCCTGCTGAGCAGGGAGCCTGATGTGGGACTCATCCGAGGACCCTGGGATCATGACCTGAGCCGAAGGCAGACGCTTAACGACTGAGCCACCCAGGCGAACATCTTTTAACAGAACTTTGTTTTGAGCTCTCAAGTGACTTAGGCAGAATTTTGTTAGCTGTTGCTGTTGCCTTATAAGTACATTGTGAAATGATATTTAAAAGTAAATAAAGGAGATGTTGCACAGTTTCGAACTCCAGAAATTAAAACCGTCCCACTTTTCTCAGAGAAGGGAGAATTTATATAATTGACCATTTGAATGTTGAATAAAAAGGAGAGGCGATTATACCTAGTGGAATTGTAAGGCTTCTAATTTGTTTAGGTATAAATTTGATGAAGACATGGTGGTTCAAGCCAACACAATACAATTGTAATCAGAATAAACCCATCTGTTTTGCATATGCCAACTCTATAGCTTTATGCCCAATGCTTGGTTATTGTAAGCACTTGTTTGCAATGTGTTTAGAAGGCCAAAGTGTTGTATTGGTAGTTCTACACCTAAGTGAGACTCCAGAGAAACACATTTATCTGAGGGCAGAAAATTGGATTTAGTGATCTCCTGCTCAAGTTCACAGTCAGCACCTGATCAATGACCTCACTGCTGTCTGTAATGGTTCCTTTGTTTATTCAAGTTAATGCATTGGAGCGTTACTCAGCGTGGTTGAAGTGATTTCATGGGAAAGTTGGTTGGTAATATAAGCAATATGTAGGATTTAAAAATTCTTCATATGATAGAATAAATATTTTTTTCCATTTCTAATACTTGCCTTATTTTATGTTACACTTAAATACGGCTGAAGTTAATTTTGGTGTAAGGAGTGAGGTAGGGCTTCAAGTTTTCTATTTCCTTCCAAATTGCTAGCCGGTTATCTCAAAACCATTTAATGATTAAGGATGTAATTTAAAAATGTGCCTGTGCCCAAAAGGCTATTAAAAAGTAAATACTATTACAATCTTGGAAAAAGTCATGGCATGATTTTCTGTTTGCAGTTGGTTTTATTCCAATTAAGAAGCATTCAAGCCTTAATGGAGACTCGTGAAAAACAAAAAAACAAAAAAACAAAAACACAGACTCAGGAACTAGTAAGAGACACTCAGATAGGGGCGCCTGGGTGGCTCAGTTGGGTAAACCGCTGCTTTCAGCTCAGGTCATGATCCTAGGGTCCTGGGATTGAGCCCCACATCGGGCTCCCTGCTCATGCAGGAAGCCTGCTTCTCCCTATGCCTGCCGCTCCCCCTGCTTGTGCTCTCTCCCTCTCTCTCTCTGTGTGTCAAATAAATAAACAAAATCTTAAAAAAAAGAGAGAGAGAGACACTCTGATACCTACAAAAAATTTAAATGGAGGAGCTGAATCGAAGCTGCTAAGAAGAATAAAATGATTTGTGTCAGAATTGCAGATATAATAAAAATATTTCGGGGTGTATACAGAAGGAAGGGTATTTACTTTCACACGATCTGTAACACTGCCTGGTTTCTTTTCCTTTCTTTTCTTTTTACAGTTTTATTGATTTATTTTTTAAAATTTAAATTCAATTATAATTAACGTATGTATTATTTGTTTCAGGGGTACAGGTCTGTGATTCATCAGTCTTATATAATACCCAGTGCTCATTATAACACATACCCTCCCCAGTGGCTGCCTGGTTTCTTAAGCAGCTGCAAACCTCTGGAGTCCTCGCTATGTGAGTCAGATCAGTCACTGCCACAAATCTTGTGACAGGCAGCCAGACACAATCCTAGCTGATCCAGGACTTTTTTTCTGTGTGCTTCTCTGTCTCCACTTTTTACTTTATATTTTCATTTAGCTTGGATTACCTTTTAAATTTTAAAACTGTTACTAGAAATAAAGAGTATTTTGAATGTTGGACAGCTGAAGAAAAAAATGACAGTAATCAAGACAGTAAAGAGCTTAGTGGAAATATAATGATTTGAGAAATGCAATTTAATTTGCATAACAACAGTCATTTTATTATCAAGATGTTAAGCACTTGAACAGTCTACACTTTATTTTCATAACAAAGAGACGAATAACCAGTAAAAGAGATGATTTTAGGAATTTATTATTTTTTTAAAAAAGCAACTTCCAGAGTTTGTCATTGTGCAGGGTTAGCCCAGTCTCCTATAGCATGGTACAGTGATAACTGATTTTTTATAACAATGACTCACTGAAGATCCGTAACTGTCTTCTGAATTATTGCAGAAAGAAGAAAGGACTAGAAAAAGAGTTTAATGTTAAGTGTATTTAAAAAATCATATTCTAATTCTTTTAAATTGGTTATCCAAGTATGATAATATAGTAGAGCTCAGATAACTAGAAAAGGCAATTGACTAGAATACCCCATTCCCATCTGGTGTGCATTAACAGGCTTTTTACTGCATATATCTTTATATAGTTCGCAAGCTAATTCAACCCATTTTACACAGCATTAATTGTTTTTATTGAGTTGGCATTGGGCTGAAACTTGCTCACTATGTCATAATTATTATTATCTTTTCTAGTTCTTTGGTGGATTTTTCTCATCTGACAGTGTTTGGACTCTAAGTGTTTATGAGACATCAAAATCCTCTTGGCCCATTTTAGTGATATTTACAATGAGGTGACCCATGGCCAGATATCCAAGTCTATTAATGAATTTGCCCACCTGCTCTGTTCTTGATCTTAGTCAAAGAGAGAACTTTTACAGTCTCGCTGCAGTATGTGCAAAGCTCCAGGCCAGAAACTGTTTGTGAGCTGGTGTTCGATGGAGAGGACCACGGAACTCAACGTTCTTATTAATGCTGTGCAAACAGGGGTCTCGTCATTTTGGTAACTATTTGTACATTTTGAAAAGCAATACAGTCTTGGGAAAAACCAACAAGCACAGCTTGGTAGAATAACCTGCCATGAAATATCATTGGCTTTATAATAATTTACTACAACCGTTCTTTTTATTCACACTGGATAGGAAATGCTTCCATCTAACACATGAAATACGAATATATACAACAAAAAGTTGGCTTTTATTAAAAAAAAAAACTTCACAAGGACAATAACATGGGGGTTGAAAAAATAATTTTGTGCAGTTTCCTGATCACAATCATATGTCTGCTGCCTTTTACAGGGAATGATACAAGTACTGATAGATTTTATAAACCAGTCAAAGAATTTTGTCTGGACTAGCCTACTATTGCCTTATTCGTATAGTCTAGAAGTTTCACCTTCTCAACTGTAATTCTAAATGACTAGGGATGACATGATGAGTCCCTTTTAAGGACAAACCCTGCTAATCCTCTTGGAAATCAGCATGTATTTGCAGTTCCCTATTCATCCGAAAGTTCACCAAGACATCGTGGAAACTGCACAGGGCTTCTCACTGATGTGCTGTTGAGATCCCGAATGGTGCCCGCCATCTTGTACAATGTCTGCATCTTGGCTTGAACTTTCTTATGGCCCCAGTGAGTCAGGCGGCAGTGGTGTGGGGTGGACTGTTCTGTACTGCCAGCAGTCAAAACAGTTGCCATGGGCTCAACGTCTCTATGCTGTGAGCCCGGGGAACCCATTCTCCTATGGAATGGTTTGCTGGAGTCCAGCAATGTCACTGCAGGCGGCTGAGACATTGCGGCCCCTGCTTCATGAGGGACTATACTAAAGAAGAAGCCTCATGTTGTAAGAACAGACAATACAGGCCAGGTTGAGGGGGTGGCAAAGGGAGGTTGCTTTCAAAAGTCCTGGAAACCCTCTCTGATTTTACCTCTATGAGAAGGCTGGGCATTTGGAAGTGGCAGGCTGGGAGAAGGGCTGGGTCTGAGGTACACTTAGAGACATGTCAGTTTGGCATTGGCACTGCAGATTTAGTGCCTGTGGTCCCCCACTAAGGCACTCTGCTGAGACCTATGTTCCCCTGACTGTACCTTTTATGCCCAAGGATTCCCCATTCCTCCATCAATTCCTGTTTGTTTCTGCTTTCTGAAGTGGGGATGGAAAATAGAGCTCATCTCTCTCTCAAATATTGAGGAATGCTGGCTCTTTGAAGTTCTGGTGTGAGGATTGTGAAGAAATTGTTGGGCTCCTGGGATAGTGCCGTGATTGATGAGCAATGTCTGCCATGGCTACAAGAATTGGTGTTGACGGAATATCTGTGTTCTAAGTAAGGTACAAGAATCAGGCTGGCTTGATGGGTTCTTGAAGGATCTTTGGAGACCATAACTCAAAGCACTAAGGTTATATTTATTTTGTATTCTGCTTTGTTCCAGAAAATTTTAAGACTTTGAGCAGTTTGGGAGAGGAATTTTAAGACCTGTGGAAAGCTGGAGGGGAAGATAATTTCGAATAGGGTGGTGCAGGAGGCCCTCTGTTTTCATGCAGGATGATGAAGCCCAATGTTTAGAAAGTGATGATAGGGCTTACTGATGACAACAGATTCAGAAAGACTTGGAGGAATGGGGTGGATCCCAGGCCTGGTGGGAGTTTCAGGCAGAACATCTAGTATATTCCTCCTGGGTTGACAGCTTATATTTATGAGTATGTTGAAAAGCCAAGGAGAAATACATTTGCATCTACACATACATGGCTTTTTTTGTGGTTAATTAAAGAACCTGGAGATGGTTTCCATATTATGTTAGGACCATTGTCCCTCAACTCTACCTAGAAATCTCCAGTATACAACTTTACCAAGAAAGAAAGAAAGATAAAAAAACCAGTGAGATTGTATGGTAGGTGCTAGTGATGCCATTTTCGGAAGATCAACTCATGTTTGTCTCTGAAAAATGGGATCAGTCACTCCTTTATACTTCTTAAGTGATTTAAACTGAAGCCTAATCTTGATTTTTAACACGAATCATTAACAGGTTGCTTTTCAACAGTGCCATTGTCTGTTGATTAGTGGACCATGTCGGGCCAAAGCCAGCCACCTCTAGCTGCTGGTGGCCTCGGGGTTTTAGAAACTGTCTGATGCTCTCATCAGTACTCGCCAGTCAATGCACACACCTGATTTCACTTACACAGCAACATGGCAACATACCTTTTTCCATCTGTAAACACCTGCTTTCTTCCTCACTTGGAAACTGGGAGAATTTGAAAGGAAAATAAGGCATATGTTTTTACTCCTTTGCAAATCCCAGGTGAACATGCTTTTGGATACCTGTCTGATGTTGAGTTTCTTGCCACAATGGGGACCCCAAGCTTTTCCCAAAGTTGTAGGCAAAGGGTTTTCACCTTCTTGGGTGAGGATTCCTTGGTTCCTAGGCCAAGGGTCCAGGGCCAAGTGATGGATATGGAGTGGAGGAGGGAAGGCAACATTTAGAAACCCAGCAATGTTATTTCTCATCCATCCGACTCTGCGTTTCACCCTCAGAGAAATGATTTTCTTATTGGTCTCCATGAGACACAATCCCATTTAAGAGCATCTCAGCAGTTTCGCTGTCTCTGGAACCTTCTAGAGGTGATGGCTGGCTATAATTGTGACTGTAGGTGCCTCATCATTTGTTTTCAGGCGTTTCAAAATTTCTGTTTCTTTCTGCTGATCACAATTGTTGATGTATTGGCATTACAAACCAATTTTTAAGGTGTGTGAAGGTCAGTGGGCTTTATCACCACTCATTTCCAAAGCAGAAGCCTCCCCTAACTGGAAAGACTTATTCTAACACCACAGAGGAGCCTTCTCCCCAAAGTTTCTAAGAGCCCAGAGCATGAACTTTGGGTTCTAGACAGAAGGCCTAGGAGGAGGTCGGGAGGGGGGTGGTGCCCTGTTGGGAGGTGGAGCTTGAGGAGGAGGGGGAAGGATGGAAGGTGGAGATGGAATTGGAGGGGTGGGAGCACTGGGGGGTGGGGGAGGGCAATGAGGAGCAGGGGGCGGGGGGGTGTAAATGGGGGCAGGAGGCGGTGAGGTGGTGTGGTAGGCGTTGTTGAGGGGGTACTTGGCGGGCTGATTGTTCTTGACTCTGGTGAAGTTGATACAGCGCCCCTGTAAGAGAATCAGAGAGAAGAAAATGTGAGCTGATGTTGGCTGTTTACAGCAGGGCAGGTGGGAGGCCCGGTGGGCAGCTTAAAAGAGATGTATAGGAAGCAGACATGATGTTTATGACAGTGCTCTCCTGGCAAACGGTAGAACTTGGCAACAAATAAACTCCCCATTTCCTTTTTTCTGGACTTACCGTGTTGTAAAATGGTTTGTTAAAATTCATTTTCCTGAAGGCTCTTTCTCAAAAAGGAGGGAGAGGAGGGGACTGACCTTAACTGGACGTGTGGGGTCAAGCTGTCTACAGAGGTCATCAAATTTCATCTCAACAGCCTCACCAGCCAGGAACTGTTATCAAATGTTCTATTTCATAGATAGGGAAACTGAGCCTCAAAAACATTAAATCTCTTTCCCAAGGCCACACACCCGTAAGAGGTGGGGTTGGTGATTCAAATCCCAAATAGGCTCCAGAACTTCTATTCTTCCTGCTACACTCTAGTGTCTTCTAAAGGCGGCGGGGGTTGGGGTGGGGCTCCAGATTTTTTAAACAAACGGAACTTGTTTCAACTGATTTCAGTGATACTCCTGGAGGCAGGAGCAGGTTAACACCATGAGCTTCTCCTGTACTGTAATTCGAGCTGAGTCAGTCTGTGATCTGCATTGTCACGAATGTGGCAAACTGGTGTGATTCTCATAGGCACTCATGCGGTTGCCTCTCCCCATCAACTTTTACCCCCTTCAGCCACTGGCGCTGAGTAGTGACTTAAGGAGGGAGCTCCCCCTCCTGCTGTGAGAAGATACCAGTCGATACAGCCCCCCTCCATGCCCCTGCCTTCCCCGAAGCTCTGTCAGGAACAATTTATCCTGCCCTTGCTCTGGTTGGGGCAGTCCTGCTTCTTCAAGATGCTGCTGCCCCTGCTCAGGCACACTTAGGTTCTTAAGAAAATACAACTTGGGGATATTTTATTGCAAAGCAGACATCTACCCTGAAATCTACCAGACATTTCCTGGGGACCTGACTGGACGATGCAGAGCAGATACCTAGAGCCCCTACAGCAGCCTCTAGAAAGTCCAGAATCTGCAGCCCACCCTACGTAGCCCTCTCTCCTTTGTGGTGTCACCTCTCAGCTCTTCAGAGTCAGTCCTGCCGGCCCTGCCCCCCCAACAGATGACATTTTCCTTCCAGTGCCTGTGCTCTCACTTTTGGCATCAGACCCTCCTGCCTTGCCTGGGCAGGGTGTGGACCACCCTTGTGGGGTCCTAGCCTCCCTCCAAATTTCCCGAGCCTGCAGGGCACCTTGTTGTCCCCTCTACTGTGTGTCCTGGATGCCTGCAGAATTTCCCCCCAAAGCGGCAGGGTGGCGGGCCATGCCTTTGAGGCTGCCCTGTGGGTTTTTCCCAGCTTCACCCTCCAGGATGGACGCCCATCCTATGGCATTTGCTCTGGCTGGGATATGTCCAGAGAGGCCGGAATTTCCCTTGTCAGGTCTTTGGAGGAAGGGGCCGAGGGAGAATGAAGAGGGCGAGTCTGTGGAATTTAAGGTACAATCACCTGTAGGAGATACAAGTGTGTGATTTGAGATGTGGCTCGGGCTGAGAGTCATAGCAGGGACACCATGCATGTTTGTGGGAGACAGTGGGGGCTGAGCCAACCTTGCCTCACATGCACACACCCCACTCATCCGAGTCCTAAGTCGGTCCCTTCCCTCCACACATCTTTCCCTGATGACTCTAGCCTCCATGTATCCTTTGCTTCCGTCCCTGAGTTCTCTAGTTACAGTCAATGCCACACAAAGAAGCCTACAAACTATAGTCTGTAGTTGTTTGATTGGTGAATGCCTTGCCTCCCTGACCAGATGAGAAACTTCTGGAAGGCAGCAGCCTTGTTTTGCACTCTGCTGCTCCCCTATTGATTTAGGAATTACAATGCCATATTTAGATGCCAGCACCCTATTCCTCTGAGCGTGCTTTTCATGAGATTAAAGCAGGGCCTAACCTTGTTAGGTTCTGACTGGGGGACCACTAACTGCAGAAATAAGTTCCTATCTTCTCATGGCATTGCCCAGAACTCCCAGATCAATGCAAAGCTTTCACAGGTTAGGTTGACTTTGTAACCCGGTGCTGTAAGTTCCCAGTTGTCCAAGCAGCCCTCTTTTTTTAAAAATATTTTATTTATTTATTTGAGAGAGAAAGAGGGAGGGAGAGAGAGAAGGAGCAGGGGAAGGGGCAGGGGGAGGGCAGAGGGAGAGGGAGAAGCAAGACTCCCCTCTGAGCGGGAGCCTGATGTGGGGCTTGATCCCAGAACTCTGGGATCATGACGGGAGCCAAAGGCAGACACTTAACCAACTGAGCCACCCAGACGCCTCCTAAGCAGCCTTCTTTTACAGCTGTTAAAAAGAGAGAGCCAACAGGCCTAAAATGGAGTCACCTGTGCTAATGCCCATGTCAGCAAATCAAGACTCAATACCTAACCTAATTGCGGTTTCAAACTTTCCCAGAAAAGTAATCTTAAACCTGTCAATCTGGAATTTCCTGGTCAGCATTAGTGAGGTAATCTGCCTGATAGGCCCCTTCCAACCCCAAAGAAAGATGAGGTAATCCACTCTTTCCTGTCCCTGCCTCCTTCTGCTTATAAGAGTCTCCCATTTTGTACAGCTCCTCGGAGCTCCTTTCTATTTGCTAGATGGGATGCAGCCTGATTCATGAATTATTGAATAAAGCCAATAAGATCTTTAAATTTTATTCAGTTGAATTTTGTTTTTTAACACAGCTTTATAAATCTAAGCCTTGGGAATAGTTTATTTATAATTCTGGATAAAACTCTTTCCTTCAAGAATGTTAAAGTCCTAATGAGTACCATCTGTGATAAATTCCTTTAATGGACAACTCAGAGTTGGGATTTACTGTACTACATATTCTGCCTTTTGTTCCTAGATATGCCAAGTCAGACAAAGAGACTCAAAAGATTCATTTCCTCTGAAGATGAAGGAGAATTCTGGACCTGAAGATGGAGCTGCTGGTGCCTGGGGTCAAGCCCAATATGGCTTCAGATTTCCCTGAGGGCTGGCCATCCCGTGGCTCCCTCCCTGGGTGGGTGGTGGTGGGGGGGGCTACAGCAGAGAGAGGAGGCATGCTAATTCACATACTTAATGCTAATATTTTTACCAGAGGCTATCTTGTCCAGAGACAAAGTCAGGAGCTCCCAGCCTTCTACGAATACATCTGTTCATAACCCAGATTAGGATCCCCAGATGTCTTCAAGAAATGATCCACAGAATAAAAGATGTTCTCTCACATCTATCTGTCAGCTGTGGGGGTGGGGGATGGGAGTGAGGTGGGAGAAAGACCTCCTTAGGTCAGTCCCTCCAGCTGCTGTCATGGCCTCTTGGCCAAAGCAACAGAAGGATGGGGCAGGATGGGGAGGGAGAGAGGCAAGAAGCCCCTTTCCTGTGGTCAGTAACAGTCCAGGGGTACACTCATGGGTCTCCCGCTCCAGAGCACTAGGCTATGGTTCACTAGGTACCCCAGCCCACTGGAGCTGGGCGCAGCAGCCCAGAGCTCTTAGTGAGCAGCCAAGATGGGGTGGGGAGCCAGCTCACAGTCTCCTCCATGTCCCCACTGCGTGACATGGGGTGGAGATAATAATACCGCCCGCCGCTTAGAGTCATTAGGAGGATTAACTTAATCAATGTTGATGAAGGCCTCGGAACAGTGCCTGCCACATGGAGTTTGTAAATGAAATTGAGTCGAGATGGAGAAACAGATGCTCAGACACAATAATGACCTTGTCCAGGGTAGGAAGGCCAGTGGGAGGGAGTATCAGGTTTTCTGACTCCAGTTTAGTGCCTTCTAAGTGAGCTGCAGACTAGAGCCTCCACACTCCACACCTGGTTCCATAACAAAGCTGGTATAGAGGGGGAAAATGTAGCACTGAACATGTGACCAGAGCTGTCCGCAGAGCCCGCTGTCTTATGCACTCTCTCTAACTTCCTGTGGCACGCAACTCCTGTAACCAATTCTTATAGGACCTCCTACCATGCTTTGCACACACAGTTGACTCATGATGCATCTACACATATTTATCATCCTGAAGAAAGGTGCAGACTTGGCATAAACAAATCCCTGGGGTCAGTTACAGTAAGATGCAGTTAGGACTTCAGGGAGGGGTGTGGCTACAAATTAAGTTCTTAAAACCTGGAACCAGAAGAGCCAACACAAACACTGTAACACTTAGACCATATAATTGGCCTGAAGATCAGTTTACACGACATCATTTTTGGCTTGTGAGAGGATAATAGAAAGGCCAGATGTTCTCAGTGTCATATATGCCAGCAAATCTGCACCAGTGTTTGCTTAAAAGGTTGCTAGGACAACCGGAGCTCTCAGTTCGTACACTGGTCTTTGTAACCCAGTGAAATTCTTTGCAGGATTGTTTTTGGGAGGTTTGATTTGGATCCAACATTTGGCTTTGACCTCAGTTTACCTCGGCTTGCTCATTTACAAAGTATGAGTGCCAATTATTTTCACACATTAGCAACAAAATACTCTGGTTAAATTCTAAGAAGAAAATGCAACAGTATCTCCTGCTAAGTGGTGGCTTAGCAGGATGCTAGGTGGCTTTTCTCCTAGGCTGGAAAGCGCCATTTTGATTTGACTGAATCTAATGGTGTTGAGAGGATTATTAGAAATATCTAGGCACATCATTTTTACTCATTATTTTCACTGTACAGAAATGAGACTGAGGACTTAGGCTTATTTAAAAATGGCGCCCAAGATGACAGAGCAGCAAATGGTAGAAGTGGGATTAAAACCAGCTCTGCTTGCCTTAGGCACTTATTATCCTCTTTCCCTCTATTATCCTGAAGATAGACTAAAAATGCAAATATTTTCTTGAATCACTTGTAGATGGTATCCCACAATGTAGCTCTTGGCTACAATCCATCAACTCTTGATATAGCTGTCAAGAGATCTTTCCAGAACACATTGAATTGGTCAATTCAATGCCC